TTTAAAAATGGATATTTTAAAATTTATTTTAAAAAAAGACATTTTAAAAAGATGATTTAAAATGGACATTTTAAATTTATTTTAAAAAAAGACATTTTAAATTTATTTTGAAAAAAGACATTTTAAAAAGATGATTTAAAAATAGATATTTTAAATTTTATTTTAAAAAAGACATTTTAAAGCCATTCTAAAAAGACGATTTAAAGCAGATATTTTAAAATCATTCTAAAAATAGATATTTTAAAGTCATTCTAAAAGTTGGTTTAAAAAAGACATTTTAAAGACATTTTAAAGACGTTTTAAAGATGTTTTAAAAGAGATATTTAAGAATATTTTAAAAGTTGTTTCAAAAGACGCTTTAAAAAAGATATTTTATTTTAAAAGACGGGTCAAAAGGTATTTTAAAGACACTCTAAAAAAAACGTTTTAAAACAGATATTTTCAAGGCATTCTAAAGGATGTTTTAAAAAGATATTTTAAAGACATATTTCAAGAGATATTTCAAAAGACGTTTCAAAAGACGTTTCAAAAGACGTTTCAAAAGACGTTTTAAAAGACGTTTTAAAAAGATATTTTTAGAGACAAAAGACATTTTAAAGAGACATTAGAGACATTATAGATGACACTTAAAAGTAAAAAAAGACGTTGCAAAATGACAATTGTAAAAAAGAAAGACATTTTAAAGAAGAAATTGTAAAGTAGAACCTGTAAAATAGAAATTGTAAAGAAATTGTAAAATATAAAATTTAAAAAAAGTGGATATTTTAAGAAGACTTTATCATAAAAATATTTTAGAAAAGACATTATAAATTTATAATAAAGATATTTAAAATTATTATAATAAAGATATTTTAAAAATTATTACAATAAAGATATTTTATAATAAAGATACAGTCAGACCTCTATAATTGCACTCTCCATAATTGCACCCACTATGTATACCCTCTCTAAATGCACCCTCTGGTTCGGTCCCAAGCTTATATGATCTCTAATTATTTTACCTCTATAAATGCACACTCTCTTTAAATGCACTATTTTGAAAATTATGCATATGGTCCCAAGGGGTGTACAATTATGGAGGTCTGACTGTATTTTAAAAATTATTATAATAAAGATATTTTAAAATGACATTATAATAAAGATATTTTATAAAAATTATTATAATAAAGATATTTTAAAATGACATTATAATTAAGTTATTTTAACAAGACATCATAATAAAGATATTTAGAAAAGACATTAAAGGAGATGTTTAAAAGGCATTTCAATTCGTAATTCAGATAAGAGAGCAGGACCTAAAGAATACGTAAATAACTCAGATCCAAATTTAAAGTTTCATGTGATTTTTATTAGAAAAAATCATCTGATAAGTTCAAATTTGCTATAGATTATACAATTTCAGATTTGAGTTCAAAATTGCATTTTGATACCTTCTCTGCTATACGAAATATTTAAAGATCTAGTGATCATATTTTAATGAATTTTATACCATTCAATTCGCCTCATCAAATGGTATAAAATTCATATCTAACATTATTGAAAATTATTGATCATAAAATCTTATTCAGCGATTATATAATGGTTTCGATCCCCATCGAGACGAATCTCTATAGGGTTAAATGCTGACAGAGATCGACATTTACAAAAATTAAAATTCCATATTTTATGATTTCTATTCGCCCCATGAATCAATGGTGATAAATCGGCCAATATTGACAGAGATTGATACATCTAAAGTTATTATAAAAACTGCATATTGTATTTTTAGATTATTTTTCAATGAACAGATTTTGAGATCATGTAAAATTATTATAAAAATTACATTATATGTTTTATACAAATATATGTCTAACTCCTAGAATTACTAACTAGTTAAATCATACGAATTCAATAAGATATTAACTTGGATCTCAGTTTTACATATAATCTTTGGAATCCTGAGTGAGTCCATCAAAATGATTTGAAATTATTATTGAAAGAACTTTAAGATTTACTTTATTTTATGCATATATTTAGAACAACCTTTAAAAAGCTTCAAATTTTTAAAAATAATTTTTTGTAACAAGAGTATCTAAATAAAAATGCTTTATATGTATTCAAAATATGTGGTTTTGAGAGTGCATAAGTTTATTATTTAATTTTGAAAAATGAAATTTTAATGATTTTTACTGATTTTTTTCAAATGATAGTATTTTTATTTCTCATTAATGATATCTTCAAAAAGTTCTAAAACAGACAAAGGCTAATACTTCTTTAATGCTAGAAATATTTCCATTAGATGCATTTCAATGAGATGAATCCAACGATCCTTCTATGATCATTGATTTTGAAATTCATTTAGTTTAAAATAAGATTTTGAAATTAAATAAGATTTTAATTTAAAATAAGATTTTGAAAATTCATTTAGTTTCTAACCTTCATTACATAATAGCTCTAAAATTCGGCTTTGTTTTTTCCAGTGTTCTACAAATGTTTTATGTTTTTCTTTAAATATATTATATACAGTATATTCAAATGTATTAGAAATTTGTATAATGAATTTCTCACTATAACGAATTTTTAATCTCCAGCCCAGCCCATGGGATTCACTATAATGAGGGTGAACTGTATCAAAAATAGAATAATACTATTTGCCTGGCATAATAAAAAAAAAAAAATTTTTCAAAATGTCCTTTTTTTAAAATATCTTTATTAATTAGTAAAATTAGTAATCCAAATATGATCTATCTTATTCAAATATTTAAAATGAACTTTATGAAGCTAGTCAGTAAAAACAGTAAAAACGCATATACATGATTTCTGCTAACGAGAAGTTAGCTGAGGGTCATTTTATTATAAAATCTGTACCTGAACTTTTCTTCATTATAGCAAGTTATTCACAATATAAAAATTCACTATAGAGAGGGTGAACTGTATACTAATACCTTTTAAACCAAGGGACAGTCTTTACGCATTACATTTAGATTAAATATCACATAGTTAATGAATAGTGATGAATAACTGATGATAAATTATCATCCGAACTGCTTCGCAGTTTGGTGATATTCTATTCAATAACTAATATTTATTGGAGGTAACTATTTATTGGAGGCATGTTAACAAATACGGTGTACATAATACACCCATACAACAAATAACTACCTTCTCTAAATAGAGCTAAATCAACTAAATCCAAAAATATCAATAATTCATGGTGCATTGTACGGGAACGTCAGATGAGGTTTGTGGAACTCAATTACAAACTACAAGTAATATCCGTCCACCGAGAAAATCATACGATTTGTCTCATCTCCAAATAAAGCTAAATCAATAAATGTCAGGTGTGATTGTTTTTCATGTACAGCATTTTATAAAATGAATTTGTCTTTTATAGCTAAACTGCTAAATAGCAAAATGGAATTACAAACTACAAGTAAACAAGGTCGCCCAAAAAAGCAACCATCCACCGAGGAAATCATGTGATTTATCTGTAAAAAGTCTCCGAATAACTAAATCCAAATTATTAGTTAGTAAAACCACCGAGAAATCATGTGATCATCTGTAAAAATATAATATTATTCCTTCTACATACAACTCCAAATAAAGTTAAATCAATGAATGTCAGATGAAGTAGTTTCATGTGTAGCATTTTCATCAAAAAAAAAAAAATTATTTTTTATAGCTAAATAGAACTCAATTACAAACTACAAGTAAGTAAACTCTCGTAACTCTCGTAACTCGTAAGTTCGCTCGATAAAACAACCGTCCATCGAGAAAATCATGTGATTGATCTTATCTGTCATTTTTCTCTTCTATAACATCTCCAAATAGAGCCAAATCAAACTAAATCCAAAATATCAATAAATTCATGGTGCACTTGTCATTATTATTTTCATATTAACCTGATAAAGTATTACAAAATAATTATTATTGATTTACGTGAATTTTACTAAAATTAAGAGTTTTCTCTTAAAATTTCTCACGAAAACTTGAAGTGCATTTATTTACTTATTTCACTACTATTAAGCAACAAAATTGGAATCAATAATAAAGAAAAGCTTGTTTTCATTATATTTTCGAATACATTTTTTTTTGTTTTTTTTTGAAAAAAATAGAAAATGTGACATAATGTTTATTTTATATACATACTATATTAAAATATAATTGTAACATAAAAAGAATTTAACTTATTACATAAAATCCATATTTGCACGAAAAAAAAAAAGTTTTCTTTTTTAATGAGGAGGAAATAAAACGAAAATAGTGAATAAAAAATTAAAAATCTTTTTTTTTTTTTTCCTTTTTGCCCGAGAAGTCTATATTAAAGTAAAGATTGGAGTATTTAAATTGTTTTTTTTTTCTAAAAAAAAAGAAAAATCATAATTATGAAACCCGAATTTATTAAAGACGGACGAGATTAAACCGAACGAAATTTCTAGATCGGGAGTTTCCATCTACAGGTTTTTATAGGTTAATAAATAAAGAAAAAAGAGAAGAAAGAAAATACGAAAAAAAAAATATATTTTTCTTTTTACCTATTATCGAATTACATCACGTGCGCCCGTATTTTTAAAATTAAAAAGCAAAAAAAATACAGTCTCCAACAAAAAGAAATTTATTTACAAGAAAAAAATAATAATTAAAAAGTAAGAAGAAAAGATATACATTTGCTTTAACTCAAATAAAAAACCATATGTTAATTATACGTATACTATTTAGATAAAACTTAAAAGATATCGACATGTAAAATAATAATATTAAACCTTAATATGAAAATAGTATGAAAGGGATAAAATAAAAAAAGAGAATCTATAATCCTTCTTTTTTAAAAATTTTTTTTTTTTTAAAAAAAAAAATGATAAAGACGGGTGCGTAAAAATTATAAAATAAAATAATAATTTTAAAAATAGTGCTCGGAAAAATACTGTAAAAACAATTAAGATGAATCGTATAAATAATTTGTCAAAACTGCAATAAAGATAAAAAATAAAAATACGTACAAAGACTGAAAACAAAGTAATTTAATTACTTTTTGATGAATTGGTATCATCTTGTTGACATGACTGTGAACTATCCTGTTGCTGAGTATTTTGTTGTCTAGATTGTCGACGTTCTGGATTATCATCAGTTTCCATAAAAGCAGCAGGTGGAGTACTATGTGAACTTGTAGTTGAATTGTCTGAATCTTCAAAACTTGGACGTTCAACACTTCTACTACCGCTACTACTAAAACTACTTCCATTACCGCCATTACCACTACTACTACCATTTCCTTGTTGAGATTGATCATCTCCGATATTACTGTCATCTTTAGCATACAAATCAGCTAATGTTGTTGTTTGAGTATTATTTGTATTGATACTTGATGGTGGAGTTGCTAGTGAGTTACCAATATTTTGTCCATTGTTATTGTTTGAATACCCATAAGGTACAGTCGGATTGTAATGTGCATATGGAGGAATATAATTTGTGGAGTGATGAGAATAATTTGAATGATGTGGATAAGGCTGGTTAGAATATGGTCTTGTGGGATGATGGTGAGTATTATGTCCATTTCCATTTCCATTGCCGTTTCCGTTTCCGTTTCCATTGCTACTTCCACTACTAGTATTACCACTACCATTATCATACCCTACAGAAGTGGATCGTGTACTAGAGTAACCTGAAGGTGTTGCATTATCTGAATCTGGAGAAGGTTCGGTCTTCTGTCTTTTTCTTTTACCTGAATCTCGTGCTATAAATATTTTTATAAAAAAAAAAGAATGAATGAAAAATTAAGAATGAACTAAAAATAAAAAAAAAATGATATTGTAAACGTGTTGTTATTGATATCAATTTTTGCGTCAGATGTCATTAATGCATAATTCTCCGATCATTTCCTTTCTGGTAATTGGTACACGTTCGACACCTGACGCTTGAATCGAAAAAAAAAAAAAAATACAATAGAATGTTAATTTTTTTTAATACATACAGTTTGATTCATACTTTTCTTTGAATTCCTTCAGATATTCTTGGTATTTCTAATAGTAATAAGAAATCGTTCCTCTTTAAAGATCCGCAAAATATAATGAGTTTATTAAATAAAACAAAAAAAAAAAAAAAAATATTTTACCTTCCAATTCTCAGTTGTTTTATATACGGCTAATTCAGCTTGATATTCTTCTTTTTTCTTTGCAGCTTCATTTTCGATAGCTTCTTTTACTTCAGGACGAACATTTTTCCAACGGTCGCCCACGATTTTTGCCATATCAGGAAATGAAATATTTTGACCAGCGTATTCTTCACGAACCTTATGAGCAAACATTACATATGCTGAAAGTGGTTTTACAGGAGCATTTTTATCTCTTTTTGGATGACGTTTATATTTACGTTTGGTACTACCATTATCTGGAGGATCCGGGGGGTCTGGTTGGTCATCGTCTCTAGTTGATCTGTTTCTTGGTTGAGATGATCCCATTGTCGAATCATTTATACTTGAAGGTCCATTCACATAAAGGATTTTTGGTTGTACGTTATTAAGGGGTGGTTGATGGATACTATTATTTGATGAATGAATTTGACCATCTATAAGATAGGATTAGGATAATAAGAATTACTGCGCCATATAAAAATTTTTTTTTTTTTTTTAATATCATAAAATTAAAATTTTTCTTTACCGCTGATTTCTTCTCCATGTTGAAAATATAATGGGATATTTGAAGGAATTCCTTTTATTGTAGCAATTTCTCTTTGTAATCGCTATATATTAAATGGCGCAGCAAAAAACTTCATTATTTTATTTATTACATTTTGTAATTTATTACAAAACTATATACAAAATAAATATCTAATATCTAAAATACGATTAAATAAAAAAAAAATATAAAAATAAAGATAAATTACCCTTCGATGACCTCGTTTAACATCCATAGCTATTAGATCAGCTTCAGTAACATCGAGAAGCTAAAATCAAATAAGGAAAGATAAGATAATATAGAAGTTATTGGTTAAATTTAAAACATGACGTCATTTTGATAAAGAATTCATAGATGGCAAGATGGCGGGCCCAGACAGAAAAAGCCCGCAGCATTGATCCCATTTAACTGAACAATATGTAACACATTTCGAACCATCTCGAACATCTTTAATGTAATGTAACAAAGCCAAAATCAAGATTCAACACGATGATTGATGAATTTGGTAAGAATGCGCATTAAAAGAAAGATAAAATATTCACATATTGTGTACTGATAATGAAATCCCCTTTCCAAATACAAAAATATATCATTCTATTATGACATAATAATATATCAAATATTATGAAATATGATAACCTTTTTTTTTTAACAAAACAAGCAAGGATCGAAACGGATCAAAAAAGGGGAAAATGATTACTTACTGATTGTAACTGATCGAATCCTTCGGATATGAACCTATCATAATATTCCAAAAGATTACATTTTTTTAAGAAATCCCGGACCTGTGGAAAAGATTGGATATTCATATTTTTTTTCTCTTTGAGCGCACAAGGAAATACTCTTTTTTTTTTTTTAAAAAAGCTTGCCTTTTAAATAATGTTTTTAATGATTTGATATTTTTTAAATGTTTTAATAATTGTTCAATAGGAATGAAAATTAAAATTAATGGAAGAATANCAAAAAAAAAAAAATTATTTTTTATAGCTAAATAGAACTCAATTACAAACTACAAGTAAGTAAACTCTCGTAACTCTCGTAACTCGTAAGTTCGCTCGATAAAACAACCGTCCATCGAGAAAATCATGTGATTGATCTTATCTGTCATTTTTCTCTTCTATAACATCTCCAAATAGAGCCAAATCAAACTAAATCCAAAATATCAATAAATTCATGGTGCACTTGTCATTATTATTTTCATATTAACCTGATAAAGTATTACAAAATAATTATTATTGATTTACGTGAATTTTACTAAAATTAAGAGTTTTCTCTTAAAATTTCTCACGAAAACTTGAAGTGCATTTATTTACTTATTTCACTACTATTAAGCAACAAAATTGGAATCAATAATAAAGAAAAGCTTGTTTTCATTATATTTTCGAATACATTTTTTTTTGTTTTTTTTTGAAAAAAATAGAAAATGTGACATAATGTTTATTTTATATACATACTATATTAAAATATAATTGTAACATAAAAAGAATTTAACTTATTACATAAAATCCATATTTGCACGAAAAAAAAAAAGTTTTCTTTTTTAATGAGGAGGAAATAAAACGAAAATAGTGAATAAAAAATTAAAAATCTTTTTTTTTTTTTTCCTTTTTGCCCGAGAAGTCTATATTAAAGTAAAGATTGGAGTATTTAAATTGTTTTTTTTTTCTAAAAAAAAAGAAAAATCATAATTATGAAACCCGAATTTATTAAAGACGGACGAGATTAAACCGAACGAAATTTCTAGATCGGGAGTTTCCATCTACAGGTTTTTATAGGTTAATAAATAAAGAAAAAAGAGAAGAAAGAAAATACGAAAAAAAAAATATATTTTTCTTTTTACCTATTATCGAATTACATCACGTGCGCCCGTATTTTTAAAATTAAAAAGCAAAAAAAATACAGTCTCCAACAAAAAGAAATTTATTTACAAGAAAAAAATAATAATTAAAAAGTAAGAAGAAAAGATATACATTTGCTTTAACTCAAATAAAAAACCATATGTTAATTATACGTATACTATTTAGATAAAACTTAAAAGATATCGACATGTAAAATAATAATATTAAACCTTAATATGAAAATAGTATGAAAGGGATAAAATAAAAAAAGAGAATCTATAATCCTTCTTTTTTAAAAATTTTTTTTTTTTTAAAAAAAAAAATGATAAAGACGGGTGCGTAAAAATTATAAAATAAAATAATAATTTTAAAAATAGTGCTCGGAAAAATACTGTAAAAACAATTAAGATGAATCGTATAAATAATTTGTCAAAACTGCAATAAAGATAAAAAATAAAAATACGTACAAAGACTGAAAACAAAGTAATTTAATTACTTTTTGATGAATTGGTATCATCTTGTTGACATGACTGTGAACTATCCTGTTGCTGAGTATTTTGTTGTCTAGATTGTCGACGTTCTGGATTATCATCAGTTTCCATAAAAGCAGCAGGTGGAGTACTATGTGAACTTGTAGTTGAATTGTCTGAATCTTCAAAACTTGGACGTTCAACACTTCTACTACCGCTACTACTAAAACTACTTCCATTACCGCCATTACCACTACTACTACCATTTCCTTGTTGAGATTGATCATCTCCGATATTACTGTCATCTTTAGCATACAAATCAGCTAATGTTGTTGTTTGAGTATTATTTGTATTGATACTTGATGGTGGAGTTGCTAGTGAGTTACCAATATTTTGTCCATTGTTATTGTTTGAATACCCATAAGGTACAGTCGGATTGTAATGTGCATATGGAGGAATATAATTTGTGGAGTGATGAGAATAATTTGAATGATGTGGATAAGGCTGGTTAGAATATGGTCTTGTGGGATGATGGTGAGTATTATGTCCATTTCCATTTCCATTGCCGTTTCCGTTTCCGTTTCCATTGCTACTTCCACTACTAGTATTACCACTACCATTATCATACCCTACAGAAGTGGATCGTGTACTAGAGTAACCTGAAGGTGTTGCATTATCTGAATCTGGAGAAGGTTCGGTCTTCTGTCTTTTTCTTTTACCTGAATCTCGTGCTATAAATATTTTTATAAAAAAAAAAGAATGAATGAAAAATTAAGAATGAACTAAAAATAAAAAAAAAATGATATTGTAAACGTGTTGTTATTGATATCAATTTTTGCGTCAGATGTCATTAATGCATAATTCTCCGATCATTTCCTTTCTGGTAATTGGTACACGTTCGACACCTGACGCTTGAATCGAAAAAAAAAAAAAAATACAATAGAATGTTAATTTTTTTTAATACATACAGTTTGATTCATACTTTTCTTTGAATTCCTTCAGATATTCTTGGTATTTCTAATAGTAATAAGAAATCGTTCCTCTTTAAAGATCCGCAAAATATAATGAGTTTATTAAATAAAACAAAAAAAAAAAAAAAAATATTTTACCTTCCAATTCTCAGTTGTTTTATATACGGCTAATTCAGCTTGATATTCTTCTTTTTTCTTTGCAGCTTCATTTTCGATAGCTTCTTTTACTTCAGGACGAACATTTTTCCAACGGTCGCCCACGATTTTTGCCATATCAGGAAATGAAATATTTTGACCAGCGTATTCTTCACGAACCTTATGAGCAAACATTACATATGCTGAAAGTGGTTTTACAGGAGCATTTTTATCTCTTTTTGGATGACGTTTATATTTACGTTTGGTACTACCATTATCTGGAGGATCCGGGGGGTCTGGTTGGTCATCGTCTCTAGTTGATCTGTTTCTTGGTTGAGATGATCCCATTGTCGAATCATTTATACTTGAAGGTCCATTCACATAAAGGATTTTTGGTTGTACGTTATTAAGGGGTGGTTGATGGATACTATTATTTGATGAATGAATTTGACCATCTATAAGATAGGATTAGGATAATAAGAATTACTGCGCCATATAAAAATTTTTTTTTTTTTTTTAATATCATAAAATTAAAATTTTTCTTTACCGCTGATTTCTTCTCCATGTTGAAAATATAATGGGATATTTGAAGGAATTCCTTTTATTGTAGCAATTTCTCTTTGTAATCGCTATATATTAAATGGCGCAGCAAAAAACTTCATTATTTTATTTATTACATTTTGTAATTTATTACAAAACTATATACAAAATAAATATCTAATATCTAAAATACGATTAAATAAAAAAAAAATATAAAAATAAAGATAAATTACCCTTCGATGACCTCGTTTAACATCCATAGCTATTAGATCAGCTTCAGTAACATCGAGAAGCTAAAATCAAATAAGGAAAGATAAGATAATATAGAAGTTATTGGTTAAATTTAAAACATGACGTCATTTTGATAAAGAATTCATAGATGGCAAGATGGCGGGCCCAGACAGAAAAAGCCCGCAGCATTGATCCCATTTAACTGAACAATATGTAACACATTTCGAACCATCTCGAACATCTTTAATGTAATGTAACAAAGCCAAAATCAAGATTCAACACGATGATTGATGAATTTGGTAAGAATGCGCATTAAAAGAAAGATAAAATATTCACATATTGTGTACTGATAATGAAATCCCCTTTCCAAATACAAAAATATATCATTCTATTATGACATAATAATATATCAAATATTATGAAATATGATAACCTTTTTTTTTTAACAAAACAAGCAAGGATCGAAACGGATCAAAAAAGGGGAAAATGATTACTTACTGATTGTAACTGATCGAATCCTTCGGATATGAACCTATCATAATATTCCAAAAGATTACATTTTTTTAAGAAATCCCGGACCTGTGGAAAAGATTGGATATTCATATTTTTTTTCTCTTTGAGCGCACAAGGAAATACTCTTTTTTTTTTATTGGAATCGCTTGCCTTTTAAATAATGTTTTTAATGATTTGATATTTTTTAAATGTTTTAATAATTGTTCAATAGGAATGAAAATTAAAATTAATGGAAGAATAAAAACTTAAAGGATAAAGATTTGAATGATGAAAAAGATTTGTGAATCATATTATTAACACGGGGAAAAAGAAGAATTGTATGCGATTACTCATACAAAATTACGTGTGTTAAAAAAAAAAAAGAAAAAGAAAAAAGTATAAAGAAAACGATTCACAAAAAATAAAAGAGGGGAAAGATGTAAATTATATAAAGTTTTATTTCGTAATTAATTCTTGGTAATGGTAAAGTAGATTTTGAAAATATCCTTTTATAATGTTGAAGTATTTTTTTCATATATTTGCTGTTATCATATTTTTTTTTTTTTTTTTTTTTTAAGAAAAAATAGTTTAAAAAAATGAATTGATAAATCGTAACAATAAGATATCTTTTATAAACGTTAGAGAATAATGGGGTATGTCAAAATTTTTTTACTAAATGATATCATATCATAATTTATTACGAGGGAAAAAAGAAAAATTCGGGAGGAGTTTAATTTATATTTTTTTTTAAAAAAAAGTATAAAGTAAATAGTTAGTAGTATTAAAAAAAAAAAATAATATAAATATATATAAAAGATAAAAATAAAATATTTATTAAAAATTAAATGAAAATATTTAATTACCTAAAAATTATATTTTATCGTAAAAAAAAAAAAATTTTTAAACAAAAAGAACCCAACAGAAAAAAGTGTCGAAAATGGGTTTGTTTAAATGCAAAGCAACAGTATAATATATTAAAATTTTTTTTTTTTTATAATAAAAAAAAAAAAAAAAAAAATTCTGATATTCGCAATAATTTATAGTAAATGGCTTTTTGAGTCTAGATTTTACCATTATAAATATAGATAACAAAAAAAAATCGATAATTTGAAATTTCCGATTTTTTTTTTAA